AAAAAATATTGTTTTAAAACTATCGAGTAGAAAATATCGGTATCGAATGCCAAAAGNCCCCCCACATGGAGTCCTAACCATAGTACAAATTTCTCCACTTTAAAGCCCAATTTATATCGGGAAGAATTGTTACAGGCCAACCTTATATGCGTGCGTAAAAAGCTAACTCAAGATTCCAAGATTTGTCTTGCGTGACATTTCGATTTGATGTTTATGCTCAATTGGCATTTTGGCGCGACTATAAATGCAAATTTTTCTCGGCAAACTTCTGTAATTTTGACAGAAATGCAACTCTGAGAAATCACGCACGCAAATTGATTTGGGCTTATCAAATGAGAAAAACTTGCGTGCGTGCGTAGAAAAACTCTCGCCGGTAATAACTAACACCGGTTGAACTTTTAATACCATTATCCTTCACTGAGAAAAAAAAGCGCGTTGTAAGAATAACAATTTTTTATTTGATTACCGTTTAAAAATGTTCGTATTTAAATCAAGTGAAAAGTCCTAGCAAAATGGATTTTTCCATTATACACACACTACGTTCATATAATGGAAATATTCAATTCAAATACGCCCGTATTAAAATGAAGCATATTTCACTACACGGATGGCGTTTTGCACGTCTCGGTTGCTTTTTCATATGTAATTAAGAAAGTATATGTATACAAAGCATGCACAGCGGGGACAACACATACATATATGGTATGACATAATGCACTAATCGCGCGCTGTAATGTTAATTCAAACTCAACATTTGAAAACACCTTTACATGTATGGCTGTAGGTGAGGGTGCAAAGACGCTTGATACAATTGGTTGCGGCCAAGAGGGTCCCGGTTCAATTACCATCAGACGGAACATAAAATTAATTTTTTTTTCTTCTTAATTACGAAAAAGGATCTGCGCACTTCACAACCGCATATTTTATAACGTATATACTCAAATTTAAAACGAGTTGGGTTGGTGCTCTTTCATATGCGTATTTTTTTCAATTTGGCACGTTTTTTTTAATTCTAAAATTTTTTTCCCTCAGTGTTGGAATGTGAGTTTATTAGCGTTTTCTTTTCTCGAAAAAAGGCTGCACTTATTCTGCCTTGAGTTAACGTTGTCAAATTTTCATGTTCTTTTCTCAGTCCTTTCACAAGGCGTCGTGTTCTTTTCTCAGCAGGTTGCGCTCTGATCCGGCAAAAGTGCTGACTTTTCAGCCCTCAAATAAACGTGAGTGTGAGAGTTGCACGGTTGATTTTTAATTTACGGTTGTAAAATTACAATTATTTTCCGTATCAGAAATAAGTATTTGCTTTAAAATTACTAAAGACTTACAGGCCATGTGAATAATTCAGCTTTATTAAGTTCTATAAATAAATTGTGATGGAGTAGTATAATTTCTGTTTCATTCTCATATAAAAAACGCAACATTTTCTGAGGTTTCAGGGCAACGCAAAGTAAGAGTTCCCACATAAAAGGGCAGAACTTTTTTTGAGAAAAGAAAACGCTATATGACATTCGATACGATACTAGGGTTCTGGTATTCGATTCCAAAAAAATATTGTTTTAAAACTATCGAGTAGAAAATATCGGTATCGAATGCCAAAAGTATCGATATGGTATCGTATCGTATCGAAATTCGTGTCCCTAACCTCGCTTGGTTTTCGAGAAGACCCTGGTATCCAAGCAGTGGCTCTCAACTGCTTCCACCTTTTAGGATTAATTTGCAGTTTTCGCAGGCTGGCATCCCCGCTATTATTTTGGTCAATCACTCTCGGGAAAACTCATTTGAACATTGTAACTTTACGATATCATCCTCTACGCGCATTCCCTCGAGTTTTGGTTCGTCTATCGATTCACCAATGACCTTCCATAAATTGCTGTCGAGAAAGGCTTTCGGCTTTTGTCGGCGTGTATCTCAACCATCATTGCCTCCGCAGCCACTCTTGCGAATGATGCAGAGCGGCATGGTTGAGTCTCACCGGATGCTCGGGGTCCTGCAAAAACCCCATTTGCATGAGGAGGTTGGCATGCAGGCAGTTGGACGGAGACCAAAGGATTTTAAGTACTCGCCTTGGCCATGGTCGCAGCTTTCTTTTCCTTTTGCCTCCTTCCCTTCAACTGCTTTGCGGTCAGATTTTCAGCCGTTCGAGGATCACAAATACACGATTTCTCCATACCGGTACTCTCCTGGTTTGCACCAGGTTTAACCGTTATTGGTTCCATCTCTGATACCAGTGCCCGTTTTGAAGAAGGAGTAGGACCACACCCCCTCAACCCCCCCCCCCCCCCCCC